CGCTGATGAGATCCAAAAAGATCGAAATCGCGATCCGCGTCTGGCAGTTTCGACAGAATACAGACCACTTCGAATTATTTTATTCGATTAAGCTAACGTGCCTATCACGTTGAGGTTAGCTACGTCAGGATTCGTTTTCAGCAAGTAGATATCCACACAAGTGGACCTTGTTGAAAAATACGTAATCCTAAAATGTAGCATCGTGCTACAGATGGCGTTAACTGTGCCGTTTGTAGTATTTTCTGAAACGCAGTATTTTTAATTTTAATTAATTTAAAAATTTTGCTTGTTATGGTATAATTTAAAATTAAGTATAAACCAAATGTAAACGTCATATTTCAATATGCCGGTTTTGTCATTAATTTATCCTGTGGTTTTCTATTTCCTTTTTTGTACGAATTGTGCGGTAACTTCCATGTTCAGTCCTATATCGAACGATCTTTGTAAGCTTTCATTTATACGTGTTTATTATGGTCATCTAAATGTTATCGCAAATTAATTTGTTCGTACCGGTCACGTATTGTACTTTTTAGTTCTTGCAAGTGTTGTAATTTAGACCCATGCTACAGTTATTAGCTCCGAGAATTTATATTTCATTATTACACCACAAAAAAAAAAGAGAAACATGTATAAGGCATGATCGATGGCTAGCAAAACTGTAATAACAATAATAATATTCATCATTTGTTATATAACTGGTCATGTATTTTACAGAATAAGGGCTCATTATGCTCCCATTATTCTGTAATAAATTACAAGCTTGCAGAGCTAGAACAGAAAATATCCCTACAAGTATCGTTATTCATATACAGATACACACAGTATCGAGATGTGCCACTTATTGGGCGATGTATTAAAGACACTATATTTTTAAACCCGGAATAAGTAAGGGTTTCAATTCAAATCGATACCAAAGTTATTATAATAAAGAAAACTGTCTTATTCGTGATTTAAATCATATCGCTGGTACTGTTGGCAGGCAGTGTAAAGCTATATTTCAATTTGTGTCGTTTTGTCAAGTCTGTTCTTAGGAAATGTAACCCTCAAATTGAAAAATATCAATTTAAAACACATTACCCCAAAGGAACATATGATAGTTTATATACACATACATCTCATTATTTCATAAAAAATTTTAGCGCGATGCTACATTTTAGGATTACGTATGCTCCGAATGCTTCGAATTATTTTATTCTTCATATTCTCAAGTTTACATTTATTTTTTTTTATAGTTAAAATACAAGCGGCGTGTTTACAAGATGCTCAGTGTTGATGAGAAGCAATTGAAGAGCCTACACACACGAGCGAATTTAAAACGATTTCTTGACTATGTCACCAACGGACAGGTCGAGAAGATTACTAAAATGTGCTCGAAGGGCCTTGATCCAAATTTTCACTGCCAGGAATCAGGGGGTAAGTTTCATTTGAAAATTTATGACTGCGAAATGAACGAGAAGAGTCATGAACTTCTTAACTTTGGTCATTTCTGAAGGAAATCAATCAGAAATAAAATCACAGAAGCAGGAATGAAATTTTTCAAACAATCAAATGAAGTACGTACTGTGTGAAGCTAGCACCACAAAGTTATATTTCCTTTTTATTGTTTTAAGACTGATGACCTTATGATTATGATGATGATGATAATATGAAGATTGGAAAAACTTTGGCGGTTATTGTAGAACAAACAGAATAGCTTAAAACCCCAACGTCAAAACACTGTTTACTTCAGTCCCTGAAGAAGGTAACTTTGTTATCGAAAAGTGCTTCGGACAACTATAGTGTCGTGTTTTGGCGTTGGGGTTTTGAGCTATTCTGTCTGTTCTGATGATGATAATGATAATTTGTCGCTAATTTTCTACCAAATTCAAAAATTTGTAGATCCAGCGGGTGAAAATAGAGAAAATGTTAGCCCATCAAACCGGAACTCCACATAGCATATCTCCAATTAGAAATACCACAGAGAAATACCGTAAAGGGGAATAATCTTTAGCCGAAAGTCGTTTCTATTTCGAGATACGTACGTGTAGTGCGAGCTTGATATCAAGCCTGACACTAAGTATATCTAGTTTCCAGTAACTAGATGTAGTGACAAATTTTTGGATTTGGTGGCAAATTAGCGACAAATTATAGTACACTTTAGAAATAAGAAATATAACTTTGTCATGCTAGCTTAATAAACGTATGTGACGTTTTTTTTGGCTAACGAATAGGGTTCGGTTTTACGAGTTAAAATTAAATTTATTTTATTCTACTACATCTAATTTGATTGCATTCCTAGAAACTCCGTTGACTATTGCCACTAAAACCAAGAAACCCGCTAAAGTCCTAATAGCATTAGTGAACGGTGGTGCATTGCTCGACTACAGGACAAAAGACGGTTCAACAGCAATGCATCGTTCTATCGAACACAAAAATCTAGAAGCAATGAAAACATTACTGGAACTTGGCGCGTCGCCCAACTACAAAGATGGAAAAGGACTGACCCCACTTTACCTGACCATCACTCAGAACTGTGAATCTCAATATACGGAAACGCTTCTTCACGATCACGCAACTATCGGCGCTCAGGATCTACAAGGGTGGCAGGAAGTCCATCAGGTACCTAAGTTAATCTTGTTAAATTTATGCAAGTGCTAGAATAGCTTTTTCATTTGAGATTTGCATGCATGACATATAACATCAAAATTCTTCATCGACTATCTGAATATTGCTGATTATTTCCGGAAACTTCTTGTCAGTTCCTATTGTTATGTCAGTCTTGTCTGCTGTGTGATTTAAAGCCTTGGCATTGCCTCTTAACATTACTTGAAGTTTAGTGAAATTTTTGCGCAAATAATTTTCAGATGTTTCCAATTATATTCCTCTTAGCTATACTTAAGGATTAACTTAAATGTAATTTAATTACATACGGATATATTAGAGAAATAAGTGAGTGATGGTTAGTGAATTTGTTTTTAACTGATGATGATGATGTAAATGTCACATTCTGAGATAAACAAATGTGACGTTGAAACGTGAAAACTGGACATTAACGAGTTGCGGAAATGGACTTCTAATTAGTTCGTTTCGCAGTTTCGAGCAATCAGAATATTAATTTCTAATACGTTGCGAACCTATAGAAGGTACATGAGTGCCGATAATATGATTAAAAGAGAATAAATGAACTGGTCTAGCCAGATTTTCAATTATGGAAGCTATAAATATGTAATCTAAAGTGGGCCGGATAGTTACAAATTGTTAATTAACGAAATTAATTGAGTAGATAGTGTAGCGTACGAGCAAGCTGCTTAGTGAATAATATTAAGATCATAAATGTTCTTAATCAAATTTTAAATGTTTCACGGCTGTAACACTAATGAGTTATTTTATTTGGTTGTTGATAGAAAACTATTCATTTATTGTAATCATCATTATCTTGAAATAAATCTTTATAAGATATTAATTCAGATTAATTTCCGTTATCGCACTGATTAACTTTGTACTGCTAATATATATGAACCCTTTCAGGTAAAAATACAATTACGCTTTCAGACATAAACTGTAACGTTTTTACCCTTTGATTGAGGGTATTTTCAAGGAGCAATGATGATAATTGAAAATCATTTTCTCCTTCTAACAATAGGTTTATTATTTTGTAAAAAATTTTTTTTATTGGTGGTAGAAGGTCAATATTTTAATTGATGTAATAAGTTAACAATTCTTAACTCTAAATTATATTTTCGAAAAAACCCTCAATCAAAGGGTGAAATGCTATTATTTTTTATTTTATTATTATTTGAAAGGTTAATTAAGATTATTTTAATAATAATAGAATAGGTTTGTCAACTAGAAAACTGAAACGTTCCACATCTTTAATTACAATAATCTAATCTATAAAGGTCCTTTCTCTACCGATCTCGTATGACTCTTACGAATCTTCAATCAAATCATACGATCTAATGATATTCCATTACCCCTTAACGAATGTAATTTTTTTTTTTTAATTTTTTCGATTTTGTCATTTATTTTTGATAAGTTTATCTAAATTTGTTAGTTGTTCTAATGCTAATACTTTGATTTTCTAACTTATTTTTGGTTGTATGCCAGTAAAAGGAATTATATATATATATGATAAACTGTAATTACTCCAGTTATCATCTTGAGTGTATTTTTCTTACATCTCTACGGTAATAAATACAATTTTTTCTTCGTATAATGGTGAATGCGCCTGGCAGACAATAATTATAGCAATATACTTATTATTTAACATATACTTTAACAACAGAAATAATAAAAAGCAGAGATCCAAAAATTGTGCTTTGTGGTACCCCAGTATGTAATAATTTCAGTTCACTTTTAATATTATTATTTAATTTTTAATCATCTCCAACGCCTCTTATGCCAGTAGGATAATTTTTTTTAAGAAGGATCTATGGTATGGTATGGTACAATTAATCAAAATCTAAAAATATTTTTTTCGCTAAAGAGAACACAGCCATATGTTCCTACATGTTAAAAATGATGACGTCATTCAATCTCCCTTATCCCTTGTTTTCTTACAAACCCATTTTCGTCATGTTGTGAGTAACATTATCCCATATTTACACACTGTTTTGTTTATTATTTTTCCTCCCTTTTTTAGCTTCCTCGCTGTCAGTTATTATAAGACATCTGATATTAACCACGTGTCTGATATTGTTTATGAATTTTTGATCTTGGTAGGTCCGTTCTCGTTGCTAGGGTTACGACCTCGCGCACGTGTATTTCAGCAAAACAGTTGACGGCTTGTTTTTGTTTCAGGCTTGCAGGACAGGCCTGTCGCAGCACCTGGAACAATTATTGTTTTACGGGGCGAACATGAACGCCAGGAATGCTTCTGGGAACACGCCGTTGCACATTTGTGCGGTATTCAATCAAGAATCGTGTGCCAGACAATTGCTATTCCGGGGTGCCGATAGGCAAGCCCTAAATTATGCCAATCAGACTCCCTATCAAGTGGCTGTTATAGCAGGAAACATGGAACTGGCCGAGATCATACAGAATTTCCGAAACGAAGATGTCGGTATGTTGACAAATTTAAATTATTTTATAGATACATATTCGCATGGTTCGTATTTTATTGCATTGCATTTAATAAAATATTGTGTTATAGTCAGTGTTCTTCTTCTAGTTTTTTTTTTCTTCTTCGTTTTCACTTCAATCATCAATACATTCATGCATAATTAAGCATGTCCCAAGTTAACTTATTCCGCAATTAAAATTTAAAAATTATACAAGAGGGATGTTCTAATCTCTTTGGGTTAAAATTGTCTTATTTCATCTCTTTGGATGTTATCTAATGATGCAATTAGCAGGACAAAAACAACTAAATATAAAAATACATAAAATTAATAAAAGAAAAATTTCATATGATTTTTATANTGCACCTAAAACCCTCGAATGAAGAAGACAATTTATTATTTAATCTGTAATAGAGATTGTTTTATATTTATTTTTCATAATTTCACATTAATAAAAAAAAAATCAATACCACTATTGAATAAAAATGTCATTAAAGATAAAATCGGTACTTTTAGCTGGTATCTTTATTGGACAGATGCAGCAATACCTACTTATTCAAAAGGTTAAAGTGTACCTTTTACCTTTTGTTTATTTAACAAACCTAATCAAGCGATTCGTTAGCGATAAAAGTATATAATAAAATGATTTTTTAAATTTTGTAATACATTTTGTTCTACTACCTATAATTAATTTATTCATGACGAAAAGGCATTTATTAAAATGTATCCTTAAAAATTATCGCCATTTCTCAAAATAAATGATAAAAAATTATTCCTCTAAAAAAAGTTAAATTTTAAACGTTAACATTGGCACAAAAATACTGTCGTTGGTCAATTGATTAATATAAATAAGGATTAGCAATTAGGATAAGAATGTTTGAAAGTAGCTCCGAAATGATTAATTTGCAACATGTGTGTTAGCCATAGCTTTTCAGAAAGCTTATATAGAACCGAATTAGTAAAAAGATTTTTTTCGTGCCTAACTGTACATATGAATGTCATCTACATGTAGCTTTTCCTGTAATGCAGCTTTTAGACTGTTAGCTGTTATTTCAGTACCATTTCGAGGCCCTCCAAAGTATAATCCGAAGCGTCGATCGGCAATAGGTTGGTTAAATCGGGCTCCTTCAATGAGCTGTTTAATGCTGCCCCCTTCCCCATGTCCTAGTGACCGATCCTCGGCTCCTTACAGCTCAGCAAGTTCTAGCGTTAGCGAAGGAAGCGCAGCTCCAGGCCATGAAACCGATACGGCTAGTATCGTTACAGGTCTGTATCAATTTCATTCTATTCTTCTAAAAGTAAGTACCTACCTACGTACTTGATTGATCCAACCAAGTCATGAGGAGAAATGTATGGAAAGGACTAGTTTTTAAATTACTTCCTTTTTTGTACTCTCTCTCTCTCTCTCTAAATTGGCATGATGAATGTGCATTTGTAGCATTTTCATTTATTTTATCTGAATGTAATTGTTTTGGAATGGCTCAAACTTTTCGAAAATGTTGAATGTTAGTGCAAGAGTTACATACTTCTGTGCTTCACGTTTGGTAATGTCATCATAGGCGAGGAGCCGGTGATATTGAAAGTACCGTCATCGCCGAATTCTAAATATTTTTTAAAAAAATTGATAATTGATAATTGTACGAACAAAATGGCCTTGGTACGTGTTCATTTACTCAGCCGAAAGTGTATTAAAAGAAAATATTTATAATAAAAAATAAACAAATTTGCTATCAATACACTACAGTTCTTTAAAATTCGCGATGATGGTAAAATATTTTTTCTTTTTTATTAAAACATTTTCTATTAGTATACTTTCGGCTAAGTAAATTAACGGGTTTAACGTATAATTATCAAATATCAGTTTTTTTTTAAATTTTACAATTGCAATTACTTTCAATGTCACCGGCTCCTGGACTACCAGAGACATAGCTGTTAGACCCGGGTGGGCCAAGAGAAAAATTTGCTTTGTCCGAATCGAGGGTTTTTACGATTTTTATTTCGATTGCTTACTTTTTGATCAAGGGGTGGTGAAAAATAACTTGAGCATCAGGGGAGGAAATAAACATGCGCTCTCAGGGTTGGTTTATATTAAACCTTATATTTATGTCAATTTCAAGGAGCTTAAAGCATCGTAAGCTATATAGAGCTTAAAATCTAACTACAATCTCAAGAAGATTTAATACAACGTAAAGACTTCGTTAGATAGTAGTAATTTTGCAATATCTAGTTTCATTATTATCCTAATATCGAACATCGTCTTTAGTGTTTTAATGATAAATTTACTCAGTGCTTGCACTGGGCGTTACAGAGAAGAGTTTGGGAGATACAAGTGATATAGTCAGTGATAGTTCCGGTGTTGGTACCGCCAATTCAGATACCACCAACGGAAGTGTTTCGCTTCCTGGAACAACTGTAGTATGTACCGAAAGTTATACTTCGAAACTCGATGGTCATCTTAATATTCGAGAAGGCGACATCATCGAAGGTAAGATAGAAATTTATTTCGTAATAATGGAAATTAATTAATTATATCGATTGTTGGAGCCAGGCTTTTCCGCTGTTATTGTTTGAAAGTAAAATACGTTTGCTTAGAATTTTCAAATAGTTGCGCTTGTTCTAAATATGTCGGTACCATTTACTTTCTCTTGTGGTTTCCGTTCGCTAACGCGTTTCATTATTTTAGAATTTAGAGTAGTAAGGATGAGAATAAAATCATGAAGATTTTTAGGATCACGAAATAAAAACATTTCGGTAACTAATTGTCTGCCATCGATTAATTAATGAGTAAGGCATAGTTTAGTTTGTTTAGAATAAAAATAAAAATTATTCAAGTTGTCGCTAATAAGTATGATCTAGTAGTTGTTATTCGAATGCATGCTTGTGGTTGTGTGCGAATATTTGTTTTCAGGCAGCTAATAGCAACAACCTTGAAAACTATTCGTGATCTTCACAGATCGAGAAAATTGTTAGTAGGTATAATAAGTATACTTAGGTAACTTGTTCGACTTTGTAATGTGCGTCATATGAAATTGTTTCAAAAGCAATTGCGGTAACTTGTTTGATAAGTTTAATTAACTCAAAATCAGTATGTTTTAAAACATACCGTGGAACAAGCGAATTTTCCTTTTATTTGCTATGCAATGGTAAAACTGTTTTGCGGCATGAAAAAGAAATATTTACTACTGTGTAAGTTTCATTTTACAATAACAAAATCCATCAGATTTCTGGTTATAAATATTATATAATTCGTATAGTTACTGGTGCGACCGACGATGGCTATTTGGAAGGGACGATTAAAACTGGAGGTTGTAAAAGTGGCCTGTTTCCCTCTCACTGTGTACAGGAAGTGCGGTTACGACATCATAATATTCAGGCCCCCATGATGATCGCTCTGGATTCCCGAATGCCTGGCAGACCTGGAAGCGGAAGGGTAGCTGGCAGGAGGGAATGTACAAGCAGCACAAATGCAGCCAAACAATTTGCAACTGCGCCAAGGTTAAAAAGAACGTAAGAATCGCAATCGAAAGAAAAATCTTTTGGGCATTAGCTCAATGAAAATTGTCCTATTTAGGTACGTCGGGTTTTCGGTCGAACCAAGGACGGTGGTACTGCACAGAGGGCGTAAGGGGTTCGGATTTATTTTAAGAGGCGCAAAGGCTACGTCTCCTCTAATGGAGCTGACTCCTTCTGAAAAATGTCCCGCTCTCCAATACCTGGATGATGTAGATCCCGGCGGAGTTGCTGACAGGGCCGGCCTCAAGAAAGGCGATTTTCTACTGGAAATCAACAACGAAGATGTTTCATCTGCTTCTCACGAACACGTGGTGGATTTAATAAGGAAGTCGGGAGACTTGGTTTCGATGACGGTAGTATCTTTGGGACCTCCAGTCTTACCTGGTTCTCTACCCATGAGCAAATCTACGGCAGGATTTCCTGGAGGCAACACGGAACATATAAACAAACGACAATGTGCTACGTTACCAAGAAAATCTAATTATCAATCAAGCGGAGTTGCTACCATTGGACGGTCGATTCAAGCCCCCTTGCCTCCACGAAGAGATCCAAAAACTACCCTCAGTGTTGGTAGGGCGAGAGCAAAGAGTTTGGTTGCTGGATTGGGTAAGTCCTGATATTACTTATTACATTACATAATTAATGAAATATTGTTGGTTCTTTTTAGAAGCAGGAGGAGAAAAAGAGGCTGACGATTTAACGAAATCAAGTTCCGCAGAATCGGTTCACCAACAGGTCATGAATATTTCAGCCCAAGCAAGAACCGCGTCGATTCGTCAGAGGCCAATTTCGAACCGAATTACAACTCTAGAACTCGAAGAACTGTTCCAAAGACAAAAAGGCGAAACTGGAAACAAACAGGGTATGATGGGCACATCAAATTTCCAAAGCGGTTACAACACCTTAAGTCATCCTGGATCACCAGCCAAATCATCTGGTCGGGTTTATGCCAGCGTAGCGGAAATGAAACGAAGCAAAAATAAAGTAAGGAAATACAATTAAGTGCAAATCCGAATTGATGATAATTTTGCTTGGTCTTTTTTAATTTTTCAGAATGTTAAAGTTCGTTTTCAAAATATGTTCAGCGAAGGACCAGAATTGCGAAGAAATTTCCACAGTACACCTGATCTAGCAAACCAAGAAGCGTACAACGAAGTATTAATAAAACACCATCGTAGTCAAGATGATGTCGATTTGATTGGTGTGAATCGCAATCAGAAGCCACCCCCCACACATCCTCCGCCACCACCGCCGGTAGGCCAGGTCATAAAAGTCGATATTTCTAAAACGATAAAATCGGAATATGGCAATTTGAATAACAAAGATATTTCCGAAGAAGGTATTGTCTCGTCCTTCAAACCAACAGCAAGTGCTAAACTTTACGCGTCCCCGGAAGACATGAAAACAGTCGGTTATCGATCAAGAAGTGTATCATCTCAAATCGCCAAGAACCAGCTGAGGAAATCTCACAGTATGAAGTCAAACATCAACACTAAGGCTGTAGCAGGTGCAGTCTCTTCTTCAAGAAACATGAATCCATATGCTCAACCAATTAGAGCGTCTAGGTCACACTCTACTGTAGGTAAGGGATTTTAAATCTTCGTCTATTTCGTGGTCTCCAATTTTCTTTTTTTTATTTCAAGGAACAACTAAAGAAAGGAAGAAACGGGTGTTTTTAAAGGATCCTTCGAATAATTCTTTAATTTTAAACAAGAGTCCTCCTCCTATACCTGAACCGGACTACAGTTGCAGTGGATCTGAAAACGAAAGTGGAGATGAACAAAAGGCGCATGGAAAGTTTCCATCGAGGTTACCCACTGTTCATCTTCAGCCAGTTGAAAACAGCGGCAACAGTAATGCAAGGTAAGCCATTTCGCATTTTAATCAAAAAATTAAGTATTGTCCTTTAATAATAATCATTTTATTCGCAGTGGAAGTAGTTCCAGCGGAAGCGCTTCGATGCCGCACAGTATTAGTGTTGAAGAAATACAAAGAGGACGAATTATGTTGAAGTCATCTAAATCCTATCCCGATGATTTTCTGAAAAAGATGAAAGATATCGATCCTTCCAATGAAGATGCCGATAACAGTTCTTCGGGAGTGAGCTCGGATCAGGAATTACCTCCTGGACCGTCGCTAGAATTTGGAGAAGGATTGTCGCATGAGCATCCCGGCCCAGAATTATCGACCAAATTACAAAGGCACCAAACAGGTAACAAATCTTCAAGATACATTTAAGTATATAAAGTATTTTTTATCAAGCGAAAAGAATATTCTAAGTGACATATTGCTGGGTTTTTAATTTATTATTAAGCTGGCCGAAATGGAAATTACACACATTCTCGAAAATGCAGGGACTATGAAGACTTTTCTTGGCACCCTGTATATACTTCGAGATTGTAAAATACATTAGATCATTTGTTCAGAGTTAAAAAAAAGTTTATGTATACTTCATTTACTTTCTCTAGCGATTAGCCTCTTCCAATGTATTGGATGCGCGCTGACAAAATTGTAGGTAGGGAGATAAAAACTCATTATACTCACGACTCTTGTTCATTAAACATACTTTTTCATACAGTACCTGCCAGAAGTTTTGTTCAATTATGAATAGTAGTGCGAGCCGAAAACATGCATTAAAGCCTTTAATATGTCTTCAAATATAAATAAACATCTCGTTGATATTTTCAGTAGTAAATGATACCAATAACAGTACATTTGAGCAATGCAATTGTAGTGGATAAAATGGTCAATTTTTCCGTGCAGTATTGTACGTATTACACGCTCCTTACCGGTTAAGAGTTTGGTCGAGAGTTGTCTCCTTCCTTTTCTGGCCTAGTGCTGTTCTTTTCTACTTTGCGCCGGTCAAACTGAAGGTCACATCGCTACAGAAAGTAAACGAAGTATAACAGAAAGTCAGAATAGAAAAGTAAAAGCCTAAAAATAATAGGTACATATAAAAGGCGATTGGGGTTGGAGGGTTGCGGTCGACAAAAATACGAAATAATGTGTGATGACATTTATTTCATTCGTCTCTTAGGTCTATCTAGGAACGCAGTTAGTTTATCTCGATTACCACCCCCTTTAGAACAAGATCCAGAGGAGAAAGAAGAATTCCGCCTTCCACCACCCCCCGAATTCGACGAAGCGGCAGCAGTCATGGCTTCCGCGTCTGCATCAGAAGCCGTCTTGGAGCCACCCCCGCAATTTAGTGATAACAGGCAAGTGACAAGGGTCAGAATAGTCGGTGCAGTTCCCAAAGCAAATTCTCCCCCAATAAATACGCCGCCGAAATTCAAACAAGGGAGGTTGCACAGTCAGTGATAAAAACTTAGTAAGTAATACTAATTAACTCAATGTAGATTTAGTGTTTTCTACTGCTAACGTAAACCGTTTCACTATTTTCGTGAGAAAATTATATGCTTCTAAGGCACGACACACTGATTAAAAAATTTGATGTAGTATTTTGTATCAGGTAAACTTTTTCAATAATACAATCCGCTAATTAGAAGAAACTGTAATAACTTACCGTAGTTAGTCTAGAAAATTAAAAATAAACCGAGGTCATTTCTATAAGTTCCTTCACGCTTAGTGTCTATTAATTTAAGTGTTACACCCTGGAGAAATAAGAATAGAACTCGCAAGGGGTCGTGCTAGCGTGATGCCAGGAAAGAGAGAGAGAAAGAACACTGCAGAGAGGCTCATTGTTACTGTCTTTACTTTTGTAACTTACATGAAGAATAATAAGACAAGAGAATAAGAGATATAACATTTTTAATGTTGTTGTTTAATGTACGGTACGAGTCGTAAGAGCGTCACCAAATTGTGCCCAGTCGTCCGCTGCGCAGGAAATTACTGCGCAACTAATTTACAAGTGGGCCAAGAGGTTCTGCATTTAACACTCATAATATCCAAATTGTTCCGATGTTGCTAACCGCTCAGTAGACAATTGTACGAGGGATGTTTTCAAAGTTCTGGGAATTTAGCTATAATTTTTATTATTTTAAGCCGTCCTCAAAAAACATTTTCGGTGTCTCTTCAATTCACCTATTTATGACACGTTTTACGTCAGTTAAACTTTAAAGTCGAACACCTCGTAAGGGTTTTTTCAAATCTGAGTAAAGATGATAAACACTGGGTGCAAGAACCGATCGATCCACCGATAAACAGTAATTTTGGATTCTGTATTAGACTCACCAAATACTCCTTGCAACGCTGAATAATTTCTGACGTTTTTCTTTCCACAAAAAGAAAATTATTGCGCGTCTTCCATGAATACAAAAACAGTGTTATGAAAACGCGTTTATATATCAGTCGAACATCTAAATCAGACTAAACAATATTGCACGAGATATTTGCATAAACATGCCAAGACTTGTCTGGCACCAATAACATTACCTGTAAGTTCCTAGAACTTTGAAAGCATCATCAGTAATGACCCTTTTAAGTCCCATTTACTTTGGTTTAAGTTATTTCTCTTATACCTAGTCTTCCTGATATATTGTCTTACTAGAGGAGCATATCAATAGAGAACTTCTACGTAGCGTTCTCTCCCATTCTCCTGGTATCAAATTACAAAGTTAAATAGCGCTGACGCACTCTATTCTTATATCTCTATGATTCCGATGATTTTTTACTATGGCATTTTTATTTGGCATACCGAAATATCTCTAAATGGAATATTTATTATTTATGTAAGATTTATGCAAAATGCTTACTTTACTCCAACTACTATATGAATTTTTTGTTTGGTGTAATAAAATTTGCGCAATCCGTCACAAAATAGTATAAAATATAATAGTTTCCTGCCAAAAGTAAGTCCTGCAATAATTATAGTCTTTTAAAATATGTAATAGGCGAAATTTTAAAACTTAATTACAAATTTTTCATCTATAAATATAACAAAAACAGGTAGCAATTCCTAATTTTTCGTGTTTTTTAACCACCAAACATTTTTTTAAATATTTAAATACTCTCATACAGTAACTTTTGTTTAAAAATTTTAGTTTCTTCGAAAATATAATAGCACCTAACTATTTCACTATTTTCAAGTTAATAAATATAGATATTTTGATAAAAATAATATTTTCTCGAGTCATAAAGATGCAATCGTTTTCCTTTAAAATTTCGATATTCAATATGCTCAAATATTTATGAAAATAACTTACATATGTACAAGTATGTGTATATATTTATAAGTAGGCTCTTTGCAATTTTAGCAAGGTAAAACGAATAAGCTAAACAGTTTTTGTATGACACTTTTTTGTACGCCAACTGTTTAATTAAAATTTCGTTGCGACCAAACTTTACTTTTGGTAGCTACGAAACAAAATTGGTACTGGTTAGAGTTTATACATTTTATAAAATACGAAATACGGTTAGGTATTAATAGATAAGATGATTCAGAAGTATTTGATTTCGTTTAAATTAAGGCTGCACATCAGAATCTCATATAATATTAGCAACCAAATTTAAATAACTAGTGCGTGAATTAGCCGTGTTTATCTATGTATATATAATATAAATAATTTACTTGGGGTTGACAAAGTTAATTAATTTTGCTATAAATAAAAACTAGAAGGGCTTTTTAAAATATAAATCAGCACTCGCGTTTAAATGTTAACTTTGTATTTACTCGAAATTGCACAAAGTTGTTTTTAGTTGAGAAACGTTGATAATAAATTTCGTAAAGGCTTTCGCGGTTGATAAGTGACTTGATGATGTCCTGATCGTCGCCGATTGGAATTGCTTCCTAACGTTTCGCTAGAACGAGTGGCCACCTTCTTCAGAAGCTTTTCCTCCTCTGATACTGGATATGGATACGGAAGGACCTCCGAAGAAAGTCACCACTCGTGCTAGCGAAACGTTAGGAAGCAATTCTAACCGACCATGAATTTTAGACCTAGATCATTTTCAAGGAGTAGTTAAAAGAAATAATGATAACTAAAGAGTAATTCTTGTAACTATACTTCTTGAAAATGGTCTATTCGTTCAAACATACTAAAAATTTAACAACAAATTCAGTTGTTTTTCTTGATTAATAAAAATGTTTCGCAAACAGTGCACCATTGAAAGTTTAAATGGTATTCGTAATTATGATTTTCTTGAAGTAAGCCTCAAGTAATTACGTTATTTCATTATCAGAGAAATACAAATTTTCTGATTCATCTTTAAACTTCAGTATTGTTGTATATGTTATGCCATAACTTCTTAATTGTACCTTATTAATATTATTATTACTGTCTAATATAGTTAATAATAAAACTGTTTGTGATGTCAATTAGGTGAAGCATTTATTTAATTGCACTTTTTGTAAATAGAACTACCTACTTGAAACGGCGTCTTTTCAATGTGTATATTTTTTATGAGACAAAACAGAATTTGTAAAACATTATTTATTTTACTAATTGTTATTTAAGAGATAAATACCACTTTTCAAACTTTTAGTATTAAGTACTCAACGTTAACTTTTCGTCGATAAACTATTTTTTCCTCTTTTGTACATATTGTGTTTAACACTATAAATATTAAATTGTCAACATGCAATACTAGTTTTATTTTTCATTACAAAATCGGTAATCAAACTCAAAATATAAGAAACACGTAGATAAGTAAATATGCAAAGGCGAAATGAACCTAAAAAGTCGGATTGAAAAGCAATTTTCATGCCACGCTTCTTATTTTAATTTTAATAATAGGTTTGTTCTTGTTTTTGAAAGCAATAAATAAAAGTATATAAAAAATTAATACGTAGCATATATTTGTGTGAAACTACGAATTTTGAAAACTAATAATTCGATTGTTAACTGGCTAATTATCTTTGAAATTATTAGATCAATAGCAAAATCATTATCCTTTTTATGTTTCTACTCAAATATTTATTAATTTTATAATATATATGTAGAAGAGTGGGTAGGTAGCATACTGTTGTCTAACTGTTACAGGCCCTCTGAGGATGACACCTTGTGTGTCGAAACGCGTATTAGGTTTCTAAACATTTTGTAATATTTTCGATATTAATCTTGTCTTATTCTCCAGGCCCTTCAGTCTTACATTCAATTAGTTTCCTATTCTTCCAGTATAAGGATTAATGATACACAAAATAAAATTTAATGTGCTGGAGAACGCAACTAAATAAACATTTAAGCGCAAAATTCCACAAAACGTTTAGAAACCTAATACGAGTTAGAGACTGTCTAACGAAGGTGTCATCCTCAGTTAGAGACTCTCTAAGCAAGGTGTCATCCTCAGTTAGAGACCCTTTAAGCAAGGTGTCATCCTCAGTTAGAGACTTTCTAACCAAGTGTCATCCTCAGTTAGAGACTCTTTAATCAAGGTGTCATTCTCAGTTAGAGACTCTTTAACCAAGGTGTCATCCCCAGTTGAAGACTTGGTTAGAGATTCTGGCGATGACACCTTAGTTAGAGTCATCCTCAGTTAGAAAGTTTTTAACCAATTAGAGTCCCAAACTGAAGATGACGCTTTGGGTGTCAAAACGTGTATTAGATTTCTAAACTTTTTCTGGAAGTTTGGGTTCTAAGTGTTTATTTGGTTACGTTCACCAGCACTGAATTTTATTTTTTTTCTGGAAATTACAAATCATTATACTGGAAAAATAAGACAACATTAATAAATACATTATGAGTAATTAATTTATAAGTAAAACAGATATAGAAACATCAAAGTAATACAACAAAACATTCAAACTTACCTTAAAGGCACCTTTTAAGCTGATGGAATCTATTGTGAACTTCGAAAAGAAAGTCTCATTACCAAGAAAGTACAACAAGAATTGTTCATAAGTTCTAATTGTAATAACTGTAACAACGCGATATTCATAACAATTAAAAACCACATTAATTCTGAGATTTAAATAGGTACGAAACGTGTAAAAATGCACTCCACTACGACTATCACGAAACGACCGGACCCCGCAAGATCTTTCGGACAACTATGTATCATTTTAAACCGTAACAACACGAATTCGCACGAATAAAAACGCATGTCCTTATTCTTTGGGATACTGGTTAAGTAAACAACAGAAATGATGCAATGCTTTTTTAACTCTCATAAACACATAAGACTTACCACGAAAGAAAAGGATGATAAAGATGTTACGTAGAGAAAGATTACACACGATATTATGTTTTCGCTATTAAAGAAATTGAATTTAAAAGCTTTGAAGTTAATAACATTCTAAAAACATTCGGCTGTTTACTTACTTTCTGAGAATAAGAGTTTAAAAAGGTGTATCAAGGAAAATAAAACGTAAAGTAAATAATTTCAAATTAAAATTAGAAGATTAATAATTATACGTAATAAATAATAATTAAACGAAAATACATAAAATTAATAAAAGAAAAATTTCATATGATTTTTATAGACAATAGTTTACAAGTAATTTATAATTTATTAATACACTTACCAATTTCATGCGACTTGTTGGATGACATTAATATAAGTACCTAGGTATCTGCAAATGATGAATTTATTTTATTTTTTTGATAATGATAATCAAAAAAGTTTATATCAATATATTATGTGCAGTGCTTAATTGGCCAATTGCAATTGTTTCGACTGATTGATCTCTTATCAAAAGTATTAGAGTAAACATTCAAAGCAATCTTTGACTGTATTTATCTAAAAAAGGATTTACAGCAATTTTAATAAAAAAAAACGATTGCCTATCATAATAATTTAGCGTAAGTTTAGTTAATGGCCAAGTAATCACTCCAACTGCAACTTTTTCAACGAAGATTAATACAAAGGCAGCATTTCACTATTTTTTATATATTTATTACAGAAATTTTTACACTAAACTTACGAATTATTAAACATAAATGAATTTTAAGAAAAATCATTTCGGAAACTAACATTCACATTTAGAGAAACGGCAGTGATAAGTACGATTCAAGCCCAAATACTATTTTTATGTGGAATTGATGCATGTACTTGGACATTATTTGAGCATAAACTTTTAAACTACTCTATAATAATCATCTAAATACTTTTCTTTTTTCTATCGTTAAGGTAATTTATGTAAAAGAATCTTTTACAATATAATATAATATTTAAATTATTTGACAAAGAATTTGAGTATTATACACACTTTTAGGTAATGGTAATTTGTTCTTTAAATTTGTTAACTAACATCAATTCATTCATTCGTTTCAATCTTTCGTTTTATTTTTTACATATTAATATACTATAATATCCTATTAGACAAAAATTACACGAAGAGCGGCTCAGTATTACACAGACATTTCATGTAGCCATTAAAATAAATTAAGTTACACGAATTTTACCTTATCAAAAGAATATTATCCTTGTTAACAGTAGTTATTAATTTATCCTATTTTCTATTTTTAGTCGAGAAATTACTTTTTATCGTCAGTCCGTACTTTTAAAGCAGTATAGCAGTACATCGACTATTAGATACGTAAAAACTAATAAGGTAAAATCAGATTATGTCAGCATAAAAAAAAAATAAAATATCGTCAACTAATCATCTATCAAAATTAGGCATAAGTATGTAAGTACTGTAGAAAGTATCCTTATAGTGGTCATAGCTTAAGTGGTCCACAAAAATTTCATGCAGTACATCTCAAAATATTTTACGAATTTTTTCCTTGTACTAATTGTTAAGGTATAAAAGTAGAAATGCAAATAACATTTATGTGTATAAGTGTAACAAGTACTAATTGCAGTATGTTTTGTATAATATCTACAGATCTAAAATATCTTAGAAAATTAATGATTTACGCTGAAAAATTATCTTGTCGTTAAAATACTTATCGCAATCCGTATTGCACAAGAAAATTTATCTCCAAATGAATAACAAATTAGATAGGTACCTCAAATTATAAATTAAATTTTAATTTAGAACGAACCTGTCCTCACTATTTATCTACGCCAATGCAATGAAGAGTATGATGAAGCCTAACTAAGATAATGGGTACCTATTAGAAGTGATGGTGTTCATGTTTGAATTAATTACAGTAAATTTCGTGTTGAGTAGAATTAGTTATCGTAAAATATATTTCTTTTGTTCCTGTATACTGACAGTCGAGTGATATCTCACGATGATTTTTGTTTAGATGGCGGTACATTTTTCCACAAAATGGATATGTGTCTACTATATTTACAGCATAATAAGCTGATTAATCGTTATTGTACTAAATTTTAGATTG